TTTTCCTCATGAATTATTAATGAGTTTTCTAATTTGTATTAGGCTAGTGTATTTCACAGGTTTATGAAAACCGCTCTAATCTGATATCCGTTCAGATCTGCTTCACGTTGTACATCACATTGAATACTTATTCACGCTGCTTAAGTTTCCGACTATCCGAACGACTGTTAATCAATTATTCAATGACAATGATATTTTTCTTTATTTCTTTTCACACTTTCTCACTTTTACCATCCCATTCATTTTTCTTTTAATCTATTTCCCTTGTATTATCCCTTTCTTATTTCATTGCTTTGTTTTATTTTGTTACAACCTCTGGGCCGATCTAAGTCAGGGCACTGCTAACTCGTCCCATTTTCACGAAAGAAAATTAGGAAACAATATAAAGAAGGAGATATGGTTGATGGATTATTTAACTGTAGCATTCCACCATACAGAATATTTTAAATGTTAAAAACTTCCCTACTCTGGTCACAACTTAAACACGACACAAACATTATAACCAACTACATTTATCTTTAATCTATTATTCTAATTTCTAGATGAAATTTAGGGCTTTACTGTGTGTGAATACTGATAGCATACAGAAAGATTTCAACCAGCTGTAAAAAAATTTCAAACTACAGGCAACGTGTCACAACAAGCTCAAATTCCTAAAAGGGGTTGTCTTGCATCAAATCACTGGCATGCTGCAGAACTGCTGACAATGCAAATTTTTACAGCTGTTTCACATCTACTTGAATTTAATAATGAGTTATATTTATATTTTTCATGCCGAGGGAGCGTATTGAGTTGAAAATCTCTCGAAATCCTTTTCCTGCAAAATATATAAAAGAAAGACAACTATATAAGTTTATTTTAATATGATTTTAATTTAGAAATATTCTTGGGGTGAACAGAATAAATATTGCAAAGTAAGGTAATTGTTTGAAAATTCCATAGTGATCATCTTGGTTGACGATAACAAAGCATTCCTCATTAGCTTCTCTTGTTAGATCAACAAACTTGGCGACTGCTTGATTGATATTTATATCTCAAGGGATTTTGGGTCAGTGGTAGAATAAAAGAGGATTAAAAACATATAGCACCAATTTGTACTAAATAGTGCATGCCCAGTGTAGAGTGCACACACTAAACCCGTGAATAATATTTAGTACTAATTAGTAGTAATTCATACAGAATCCTTTGTTTCCTATTGTTTGATTATCACTATTTAGTACTAAAAAATAGTATTTGTTTCACGGGTTTAGTGCGAGCACTCTATGAAGAAACAATAGAAAAGCAATAAGCAATGTATACTTTGCACTATGTGGTATAAAAAAAATTACTTCTGCGCTGTGTTTACTATGCCTATGTGCCAACTAGTGTCCAAAAAATAAATTTGTTGCTTACCTTTGCAACATAATCTTTGGTGAATGGATGAAGAGGATGACCATCTTTTAGCTGTGAAATATATCTGTTGCTAACCTAAATTAGAAAAGAAGCAGCATTGAATTCACCTTTTGAGAACTTTTTAGAAAAGCAGCATCACTTCAGTTATTCAGTTCATATTTTATTTTTCAGCATCAGTCACCACCAACAACAGTCTTTCTCAAAACTACACTCACCCAGACCATTACATTTCACAACAAACTGTCAGTCACCACCAACAACAGTCTTTCCCAAGACTACACTCACCCAGACCATTACATTTCACAACAAACTGTCAGTCACCACCAACAACAGTCTTTCCCAAGACTACACTCACCCAGACCATTACATTTCACAACAAACTGTCAGTCACCACCAACAACAGTCTTTC